ACCCTAGTTGAGCATTAGGGTGATCATCACAGGGATATATGAGGACAAACCATCTGAAGCAAGTCGACTAACGACTTGAGCAGCCGGGTCTACTATCGTCTCATTTTGATCATAACACAATCCTTCTAACGCCGCAGGTAGCGTTTCCTTAAGGCTATCGTTGCTCTCGGCTGGGAAAGATTTAAGTAAAGGAAGATCAGATGTATGAAGGGACTATACGATGAATTCCAAGATTGACAATAAATGTCTCTGATATTTGATAAGGATCAGATATCGAAATAATCGCACGAGGTAGTACTGACCGTGCTGGGCCATGTTAAAAAATGCGACCGCAGCCGCCTTGCGAATTGATGATTCCGAGTGCTTGAAGATGTCTAATATCTGCGGAATTACATTTCTTACCGCATTTTGAAGCCAATCTGTGGAAGGGTCGTCAATACCCCTATTGTCTAGACACCCCTCACTTACTATATTGAGCCAGCTGCCCAAATGCTATCGCAGCTGCATCACTAACATAGTAAATGGGATCTTTGAGCATTTCCAAAAGTTCAGGAACTGCATCGCTGATCATAATTCCGAGAAAATCTGATATTGAACGTCAGGACTCATGCTTCTGCTCACTCAAGCCACCTACCATGCCGAGCTATATCTCCAAACACTTTTGCAGATGTATGCCGATGACCCCAGTGTTCATCCTTAAACATTTTGATAATTTGGGGTAGTATGTCGATGAGAATGTCTCGGCAGCCTTTTATTGGCACATCTTAGTTCTTGAACAGATTTCCAAATGAAATGACCAGCCTTGCAGAGTCAATTCCTTGAATGCTGCTGAAGCTGCCCCACAGACATCTGGATCATCGTCTTTGAACCTCTCCACAAGCTTGGGAATGGCGCTCCTGACTACACATCGAACCCTTTCTATGGATCCCCATCAGTTATTTCCTACTATATCAAATTGAATTGTTCACCATGCTTCCACAGCTGCTCGATTGCCCTCAAAGCGGCTTGTCGAACTATCCATGATGAATGCTCAAGC